CTCTGACTGCCGCTTGGATGCTTTGTGCAGCACCGTTACAGAGCTGACACCTGTTGTGATGCAGCTATTCTTACAAACAGGTCTATCTCTAGCACCAGGCAATGCCTTTTTTCTCGTGTGGTTGTTCATGTTGTTGTTTTCCACTGGTTTTATTTTTTAAGTTAGCAAAGGGCAAAACCAAAAAAAAGTCATTGAGGAACTTTGCAGTTATTTTGCAAAGAGTTACATAATTATGAGTGTGCTGGTTCTGATGGGGAAAGGGCAAAGCATCTGTTGCTACAGACTCAGGTGTGAGAAAGATGTTGAAACACTTCTCAGACAATTTTTCTTTATGATCCAAATTAAAATCAGTAGGACAGAAAACCTTCAGGGGAACATCATACCCAGACACTATTGTAACAATACCTGTCACGAGTTCAGACTGTGGTTTAGCAAGCTGTTTAGTCTTTTAGGCTGTAGATCTAATGCTTCATAGCTCTTACCCCAGTCCAGATCCTTTGCCTTTAAATTGTCCTCTGGAACAGCTTTATTGACAATCTTCCTAGGCTGACAGATCACATGTGCTCTTGAACACACTGATCTGTTCATTTGTATCTACCTTCAGAGAACCTTAGAATGGTTCTGGTAGAAGGAACCTTAGAGATCATCTTGTTCCAATCCCCCCTGCCATGGGCTGGTACACCTTCCACTAGACCAGGTTGCTCTTGTTAAGATCTGAGTGAAAACTGATTCTTTATCATTTTCATAAGCTGGTGGTGGGGACCATTTGCCATCATTATCCAGATGAGGAGTCATCCCAGAGTGATTTGCTGCAGGTATCTGTGAAATGGCTGCGAGCTTGAGAACGAAATTAAAACATGATGGCAGGTGAAAATAACAGGGGTTATCACTGTCACTCACCTTCAAGTCTGACTAGCTGTGGAAGTTTTATCTGAAAATCCACTTGTTGGCTTGGTATCGCCTCCCTGATAAAATCTGGTGTATGATACTGAAGGGTTGTGCAAAGTGCAATATCATTTTAGGCTCAGTGTAGAGCCCTGCAAATCTTGTGATTTGTTAGCACTAAATGCACGGTGCACTACCTCTTTCAGGCAGACATTTTGGGCACTGAAACCCTTAGTGCTCCTTACCTGCACAGAGGGTTTCTCAAGAGATGACTGTAAGGCAGATCCACGGCATGCTATTAGTGATTTCAGTCCTGAACAATATGAGTGGCTGAATCACTTTTAATGGTAGAAAGGGACTTGGCTAACAGGTTAGGTCAAGGCTGATCCTAGACCTTGAGGAAAGCTGCACTTGTGTCTGAATTTGATGGCTTCAATATTGACTTTATGGGCCATATGATGGCTCCTGTGATGCATCATTCTCTCTTTTGCATCGGACTTGTTCTACAGTTAATGGTTTGTTGCTTTGGAGTCGGCACTTTTAGTGTAGGGGACTGTATTTCTCTTGACATGGCTCATGAGCAGATAATCGGAGTGCTGAATAATACAGCTCATATTCTATAGGCATTATCTCTCTAAGGGAAAAAGGCTGTGGCACGTTAAACAGCTGTTAGGGATAGCATCTTTTAATATGATACAAAGTCTTTCTAAGAGTGATCTACACCTCCAGAGAATTATGGTTTTTTTGGTTGTATAGTTAACCTGATTAAAAAGTCTTAAAAAGTGAGGAACAAGTATATACAGATCTATGTGTGACAAATGGCCTCTAGTACCAAACAAAAATCTAAGGTTCAGTACAGTCTGGATAAAAAATGGATGTTCTGCTATTGCCTTGGCTCAAACTACATCAACTCCCTGCCTCATCTGGGATAAAAATATAAGAATTAGGCCATGATTTGACATCTGTAACTGCTATTAAGGATTGGTGCATTGTGGTGCTTTTAGTGTAGAGAATGGGAGTCCTGTAAGATCTGCTGCTCAGATGGCAGAGTTGAACTTTTCTACCAGGAGAAAATTGGCAGACCAAAATCATACAACCCTGAAGAGAAGCTAAGGACAATAAATCCAACATGGTTTTCTACCTACGTGCATTCACCACAAATGAATGAGCAAAACCTTAAGAAAAGAAGCAAGGTTCTGATATTTGGGAAATTTACATTTTGGAAAGGTAGTTCCAGAGCCTGGGAGAGAGATTTGATCATGGACCAATTAAATGCTGAAGCCTGAAAATTGTTTAGTGTTATGTATAATTACTTTTCCATCTATAACAGGAAATTATTTAAATGCAAATTAAACTATGCTGCCAGAAGGTAGATGTATGGTGCTGAATAGAGCTGTTTTAGGAAACAATGTAATTTTAGGAAAATTACCTCTGTTGTCCTGAGGAAAAAAAACAACGGCTGTGGAATTAGCCCTACAAATAATGTTGTACCACTAAGATCAGTTAAACATTGTTATTCTCCAGGATTTGAGCTGCTATAAAACTCCTAAAATGAGTAGCAATTGTTGCCTAAGTGTGAAAGGAGACTTTAGAAGTGAAACAGTGTCCCTGGATTTCTTGTGTAATAAAGCATATACCACCTATCTCCAGCTGGTTGGGAGGGTGGGTGGAAAGCTGGGAAGGTTTTAAAGCTTAAACCTCTATACTTTTGGTTCCCAAAATTAGAAGCTTTGTATGCACCAGTCAGATTTGTCTAACTTTGTTACAGTACTGTGGAGCTGCTTGCCATTTTAACTGGGGGATTCCTAGAAACCACCCAGGTCCCATAGTGAGACTTCTGATTCACTTTGTGAATGCCACAGGAGGTCCTTCTAGGACCTTCAAAGGGAGCAAAAGAAAAAAACCACGGCTGAAAAAAAGAAATTAGCTCAGATTAATGTAGACAAAATACCACAGCACAGTGAAGGTGAGGAAATGTTTTGTTTGGCTTTCATGAGAGGACTTTATTGACTCTCACTTTCCATACATCAGGCTTTACTGTAGGACCATTGCAGGCCATACCACAGGTCCAGCAAGAGCCAGGCTTCCGTGAGGAGCCCAGGAATATCACAGTTCTTGTGACACAGTCAGATCTTCCTTTGCTTTCCCCTGGGGTGATAAAAAAAATGAAGAAAAGAGAATGTTTTACTGCAAAGTGACACATTTAGGGGATCAAGCATTCAAACAGGCTTGTGGAAGAAAGAGCCTAAAGATTAGGCATAAATAGTGAAAGCATATGTGGAGAGGGAATGGTGTTAGCTCTTGTCCTGTTGGTCATTCTGTCAACCCTGCTGGGATGAGTTTGGTAACAGCTCAGAACGAGGTTTTCATCTATCAGCAAGGGCAAAGTCTGAGAAAGATTTTAAACCCCTAGTGGACATGGGCCCACTTCAATTAAAAAAAAACCAACCAAACCAAACCAAACCAAATCTAACCAAACCAAACCAAAAAAATCTAATGGGAAGAAAAACTTGTTTTTTTATCCACAAACATTTTTTTCAGTGAATAGTGAAAGCTTTTCTCTCCATAGCCCTTTTGATGATGCTCTGAAAAAGAGGACACAGTGACAAAAACAAATGAAGTTCTTCCCTGAAGACTGTCCCCCAGACTCCAGAGCAGAGTGAGTTTCCATAACAGCAAGTGATTTAACACAGCATCTAATACATTTGCACTCAATGTCTAGGAGTCAGTCACAGGTACACACCGTGGGCAGGGAGCCCAGTCCCTGTCAGCTCAGAAGTTCAAGAAGAGCTGAGATAAAGCCCCTAGGAAAGGGAGATTCAGCTGGCTGTAGGAAGAACCTAAGGCAGGAGGCAGCAAGATGCAAATCATGGGAAAATCAGACAGATAAATATCTTGCAGGAGACTGGCATTTCCACCATTGTAAAGGAGCTGTCAGGTGCATCAGAGACAGGTCGGAGAGGGCGAGCAGTTCTCTTATGTTGATAGCACCCAGCATGGACCCTTTTGCACATGGGATGTGTGCCCTTGTGCAAACCACATATGGCCAAATGTTTCTCTGGGGTGTGTCATAAAGCACATAATTGCAAGGCATTCCTATATATCCCAAGGAGCCTGCTGTGACAACTGCTGAAAGACAAATGCCAGTAGCAATCAACACCTGCCTAGCAATGATTTAAGCAACTGTGTACCCAAGAAAAAGGTTCCCTTGCTGACTGTGGTGCCACTGACTTCCAAAAGTGAGTGTCTGAGGTCAGATCTGCACCTTGAAACCCGAGGAGTCCATGTGCCTTGCATCAGTGTAAGGGGGTAGGGGACTTATCTCCCATCTGTTTCTTTCTTATTTACCCATTTCCAGCAGCCTGCATCTCTGTCTTCCTGGCATGGGAACACTCAGAAGATGCAGGACAGTGGTCATCTTTATATGTGCTTGGAAAACTTCCTGTCTCTTATTTCCAAGGCATTTGAGAGCCTCTTGCAGGCACACTGCATTAACAATGTCTTTACTGAGGGGACTAAAACCCATTGTAATGACACAAAGCATTAAATGTTGATCAGTTAGAGTGGCCAGGTGTGCATCACACACAATGAGCCTTGCAGGAGACAGAAGTTTAAATTACTGTGTTACATATACAGCAGCCTTGGGGTATGCTGAGGCCTCTTTATGTCACCCCGGCAGCAGAAAGAAGTTTTAAACCATTATTTTGCCTAAAGAGCCTCCTTGAATAGGCCACAAGTACTTATTGATGAATGCTTATTCACAGTTGAAATTAAATTGCCTAAAAGTAAGGGTTTTGCTTTCAAGAGCCTGTGGGAAGTAGAGGGTGAGACAGAGTTTCTCCAGGGGATTGTGAATGTGCTGCAGGGGGGCTGGGGAGCCTCCTGCTGCACTGTGGGGCAGACTGTGGGGCCACGTTTTCACATAAGAATTGTTCTTCCCTCTTTTTCCCAAAGGACTGTGCTAAAAATGGGACCTTCGTAGCCTCTGAGAAGAGTCACGAAGGAAATAAAAGGCTGCAATGTAAAGGCATGGGATCATTCCACAAAAATCCATCAGCATTTTGAACAGGGGTGCCTTGAAGCAGGAATAAAGCACCCTGTGAAATGAGGACCTCTGTTGACAATTCAGCTCCTTGTTGAAGGTTTTTGACAGCTTGGCCCTGCTTACCTGTTCTCACAAGATTTTTCTTGTTTTGGCTTCTGTCTCTGGCCTGAAAGAATTGGCAGAGGAAGGTCGTGTTTACCTAGCAATATAAAATTTATATAACTTGAATTTGAGGGGGACTCTTGATATGAAATATGGATTGTACTGCAAAGTCTGACAAGCTGTCATACTCGAGGAAGGGACCCTGTCCTTTGTTTAGCTCTGCAAAAAAATACAGCAGGAGGGCGATAAACACGAGCTGCGTGCTGCCTCGGGCAGAGGCTGGATGGAGCACTTCAAAGGTGTGCCCAAGGGTATTACAGCTGAGCTGAAATCTTTCTGCCTGCACAACTAGGACATCTTAGTACCTTCAAGGTCCTCTTCAACCCCCATCTGTGAGCTCCTGGCTTTCATTTTACACTGGTCATGTATCTGGTTTTAGGCTGCTCGTTTAGGGAGAAGCTATAATTCAGCTTTCCTGGAATCTTCTTTCTTTGCAATTAACAAAAAATAAAGGACTTAGAAGTTCAGGCAGCCCTTTGTACTGAGCCAGGCACAATAAATGAGTGGTGTTCATCTACTGATCACTGATAGTGTGTGAAGTTCAGATCTGGGGTACTATCCACACTGTACAAGAGATTTGGTAAAATTATTGTTACTATTGCTTAATAAGTAAAAATATTCTTTAATGACCTTCATACCTGAGAGGAGAAAAAAAGAATCAGAGCAATGAAAGAAGTCCTCTTAAAAGCTTAATTAAAATATGAAACCTTTGATTTCAGGCAATTAAACGAGACATTTTATGCCTTTAAATTAAGTATTCTGATACTCTCTAAATAGAATATGCTTATGGCTGAAACTGTATTCACGATTATAATGGTCTGGATTAGTAGTGCTTCAGATGTGCACCTCAAAGCAAAACTGACTGCAGAACTGAAGCAGAGATTGCTTCCCAAAGACTAATGAGAGTTGAAGATGCTCTGATGGTGGCTGTCAGAATTGGCAGCTGCTTTATGAAGCTGAAGGACATAGGTGAAAAACCTATGGAAAATTTGGAGAACAAAATGTAAATGATGGTGCTTCTCTGGAGTCAGATGTCCAGGCACAGGTGCCCATAAACATCCCACTGCATATTGAGGAGCCACGTGAAATGGCCACTGCCTGTCCATTTGGGAGCAATCAGAAAAAGGTGCCTTTTTTCCAGCTGAGCCATTCATCTGTTCAGCCTAAGGCATCCCTCAACATTTGGGTGAGGGCAGAGAGAGAAGATGAGCTTGGTTGTCAGCCAAATCTCAGCTTTGGAAAGTAGCTTTTACCTGCCTAAATTTAATCTAATTGCACATAGTTGTAGCTTTTGCTTTTACACCCTGCCCTAAAATATTGAACAGCAGCATACTAGGCAATTAAATAGCTGTCATGCCTTCTCCCAGATCTAGCAACACTTTGGGGATATATATGACTCCTGATTTGTACAATCAGTTAGTAAAAACTTTGTAGAGCACTTTTGGATTCATCTGAATGAAATGTACCACCATAAATGTAAGATCATTCTCATTACCATTAATATTCTTTTATAAGGGACCTTATCAAAAGCATTTTGAGAAGCCAAGTAAATTATATCTACCAGGTCACCTTTATGTACTATTTTATTAGCTTTTCAGATGAAGAATTGCTTTGAAGTAACAATATTTCCTTACGGTGACTGAAGTGGGTTTTCTTCTTATCGTTGTTTATTTGCCTTCATTATGGTGACATTACAGGCTACAGCTGAGGTTGAGGGCCTGTTTTGCTTAAGACTGCATAAATATGAAAGGAGAGAATGGTGACATTTTGGGAAACTTAAAAAAAAAATAAATAAAAAGGTAAACAAACTTTTTGCTTTTGTCCGTGCTGAGATCCTTGTGCTCATGTCCTGAGTGGTACCAGCTGGATGGTGATTGTTTCAAGGGATGGAGGATCATCTCCCAGCCAGGGTGTCTCTGCCACTTCTGGGGTGTGAACAGGCCCCAGAGATACTGTGCCCTTCCCTGCAGTGCTGGTGCTGCTGCAGTGGGAGCACTGCCTGAATGAGCAACATTTCCACAGGCACTGTGGGGTACCGCTCCTGCAGTAGCTCCCAGTGAGTTTTCCCTTGCAGTTGTTGCACAATAGGAGACAGCATTGAATCTTTTCCTTTGTTTTCAGGAGGGAATTTCACCCCATAAGGTGAATGGGGCACCTTATTTGACAGGTTCACTATTGTGGGTTTGTTTCCTCTACAGCCTGGGCGGGCACTGCCCAGTGATTTACTGCCCTGGTAAACTGATAGCCATATGACTCCTTCCTCAGGTCCTGTTCACCTTCCACAGTGTTAAAGTAAATAATTGCTGAATTCACCCTCTATTTTCCCAGAGAAAGCAGCAGAGACAAGGAATCTCTTTAGTTACATTTATACAAATAACTCATGCCGAGGTTTTATTTCTGCTTCAGCATTCTCTGAAATTTCAGTCTCCCTTCTCCCCACAAAGATAGAGGGCTGTGGAGAAGAAATGCCTGCTTTAGTACATCTGACAGCAAGTAACCATGGAGAGTGGTGTCTTCCAGCTGATACATATATTTGAGTTAATTAGGTACAATAAAGCTGTCACATAACAACAGCGCTTTCTAAGTTTCACTCATTATATGCCTCGTTGGGGGTTTAATTTTTTTCTCTTCTACTATATCAGAAATACCTTGGTTTTTTTTTTTTATAGGCCTATACATCTATGTCCTTTTCCTTTCTATCTTGTCTGCATTTACTCTACTCTCTGTTCTGCTCTTTAGTCAGATATCCTTTTTAATTTTTAAAAGAATGTTTATTTTCAGTAAACTCTGCTCAGCCGTGCAAATTTCATTCTTTCTGTTCTTATTTTCAGCTCAAAAGGTCCAACCACCATCTGCCCCTCTAGAACTGATTCTTAAATAGCCTCCGGATTGATTACATTAGCCAAACTCACCCTTGGTACAACTCCTGAGGCTGCCAGAGCAGTTACTCCAGGAACAAATTTGCTCTAAGTTGTTAAAGAGTTTCACTATGCCCTTGAGCCTTCTGTTAATCATTTTTTCTCGTAGTTTTAAAATCTGGCCTTTTAAAGTTCACCCTCACTGCATTACCCCTAGGAGAGTAACCTTCTATTATGATATCAAACCTAATTGCACAGTGATTATGATTACCCAGTGGATTTCTGACTCTCACCTCCCTTAACTCTTGTGCATAATTTAGCACAGAGTTGAGATTCAGTCCCTCCAACAAAGGACTCCTATGAAAAGCAGTCTTTAAATAATATCAATTAATTGGCTTTTCATACCATGGGCTTTTCAACTGATAGGCAGCAGAGGCATGGAAGTCATAACTCTTCCACTACTGACTCAGTGCCCTCCACAGGGTCATCCTGCATTGTTCCAGTGGTGGTCCTCAGAGTCATAGGATCATAGAATCATAGAATGATAGAATCATAGAATGGCCTGGCCTTGTGCTTGTCCCCAGTGGTCCCTGCAGCTTACCCAGGTGGCCTTGGCACTGGCAGAATGGTGATAGGTGATAGAGGAGCCCCCTTAAGAGTCAGAAAAGTAAAAAAGCGTAAGGTTTGGAAATGAAAAGCCTCTCTATAATGGGCAGAGGATAATAGAAGGGAGGGAGGTGGCGGGGTTCAGTGCACTTCTGTAACGGCTGTTTAGTGACTGCCGTTCTTGCAGCATGTGGGCGACACGTATTAATAGAGCTGCACGCCCCACCAAAGCCTCTTAGACCCTGTGCTCACTCTCCTGCTCTTCCCATGACCCTTTGTAATGAGCTTGATAGCAGACCAGGTCAATTTGTTTTTGGTGGTTTCCACGAACTGAGAACAAATGGAACAGTCTGGAGAAAGCACGTTGCTAATTTCAGAATGTAATAGCTTCTGGTGACTTCACTGGTCATTATGAAAATGTTTCCCCTTCAAGGGCTCCTGAAAATTCTGTGGAAATGTTTAGGGCTGAGTACATGACAGAGGTAAATATTCTGGTCTTTTCAGGTTTCTGAGTGGGAGTACTTCAGCTGAGGACCAGTCACCCCTTTTATAAATAGTGGTTAGCAGAAAATGCAATTCACACGACAAAAAAATACTCATTTTCTCTTTTAAAAAGCCAAGCTGCAAGGAAATGAAGGAAATAAGAACTAGCTCATAAAGATTAATTTATCACAGGAGAAATTCCCTCTCTGAAAGGTAAAGTGTGGTAGGGTTCTAACTGCCTGCAATAAACACAAATGAATATTTTCTGTTTGCCCTAGTGACTGCTAATATACATATTTATCTTAATGCATTTGGAAAAAAAATCAAGTAATATAAAAATAAAGCTCAATGGCTTGTTCTAAATGGATTCCCAACACTGGCAGAAAAAGACACACAAGGCACTTTGCTAAATGCTGTATGAGTGTGTAGCAGCACTGCTGAAAACAACATAATGGGCTATTGCCTTTCAGCTTTGCAATTGTGGCTGCATGATGCTGTTGGGCAATCTTCTGCTTTATGTGTGGGATGTGCTGAGCAGAGGCTGGGGCTGGTACTGGGCCAAGCAGTAGCTGTGCTTGGATTGATACCAATCCCATCTTTTCCTGCTTTTCACCTGTCCCTGACGTGAAGCCCTCCCTGCTGATGGTTCACAATTTCCTTAGAGATGTGAGGTGGCATGACAAGCTAAAGCACTCAGAGAAACATTTGGAAGCTACAGGCTTTTATTTTTACATGGATCTGACATGTCATTTGAGCGTCCTCTCTGTTATCCCTGGCTGACAGTTCAATATCGTCCTGGTCATTTTCTTCGACTGTTGTTTGCAGCATTTTACTTTTAGGAGGTGGCCATGCAAGCATTCTCAAGCTTTCTCTGTGCTCCTTTTCCTTTTGAATCATCTCTTCACCAAGATGCACCCTGTGCATTTACACTAGAACCTTAGGCACAAATTAGCTGGGATTTCATCTCTGATACATCAAGAAAACACGTTCTTGTCTTTAAGGACACGTGTTGTTGAATGCTATGCAATAAACACAGGAATAAAAATCACAGAGTCATTTAGGTCTAGAGTAAAAAAAAAAAATTGCACTGGTTTACTGCACCTAAAGGTTTCCTCTCCCTGCACTGTTTTGTTTTTTTTTTTTTTTTGTTAGTATTGGATGAAGAGAGAAATTGCAAAGACAAATCCAGCCTAGCACGATCAAATAAAGTCTTCATCTCATCATCCTCAAAGCATCTCTACCACCAGCATCTACAAGTGTAGTATGATATGAAAAAAAAATAAACAGTAGACAGATATCCACAATAGGCCACATCCCACCCTGCCCATGTTGCCAGGCTGTTCCTGGGAGATGAGTGCCACTGTGGGGTAAGGGATTACATCGGGCTGTGACCAGATGGTACTGAGGGGTGAGCTCTGTTCCCATTAGGTAGCTAATGCATTCCTTGCAAATCTTCCTCTCCTGAAGCTAGTCTAGCTAAACCAAATCAATTGAAGAGCTTTCAAGGACTTAAAAGTGTACCCAGTCTATGCAGTAGGGGATAATTTGCACAATCAGTGGAACAGAGGGCAGAACTCCTGTCTGAACCAGGAAGCCAAAGGCAATAACTAACGTGTATCCATAAAAAATTCATGGGAAATTTCATCTTGGGTAAAAGAGAATGAGTAACTATGTTGATTAAGTATTAAAAGTTCATTTTATTTTTAGAAGTACTCAGAAAATTGAAAACATCTGGGAACATTATGCAATTTTTTTTTACGTAATATCTTCCATTTACATTTCATCAATGCCTTCAATTTAACCCTGACCTGTACAGAGGCAACCCACAAGACCCAGTCCTCTTTCTTTCTGGGCTGCAAGAAGTGGTTGAGTTCAGGCACTTTTCTCTCTCTGTGGAAAAAGTGTTGTGTGTATAAATGATGGTCCATATCAGAGCATAATGCCCAAGCCCTTCTACATATTTGACTTTCATCGTCCTACTAGCAAAGTGTACCAAGTGTGAGAGATGAGTGGCAGAAAAATGTCTCAGTCTGATCAATCTGTTAAAATGTTGAATCCCTGGTAATTTGCCCTGGGACATCTCATTGGACTAGCTGTGGATCCTGTTAAAGAAGAAGCAAGAAGCTTCCAGGGAAAGCTTAGATCTGCGAAGATCTTTTGACAGGTTATGCCAGAGGTTGGCATCTGGAGGGTAGAAACAGAAGTGCCTTTACGGGCATGGAGCCATTAGAAGTACTAACTGTGTCAGATTGGGTATGCTGGATTGTGTTTCCCCTGGGGGAGTGATTCCTCCAGGGATCAGCTGAGAGCAGACACAGAGTGTAATATTTAGCTCCAAACTCTCCAAAGGTCTCTAGCAGAGGGTGGAGCAGAAGGACAGCAACTTTTTGGATCACCTTCTACCTCCAGCAAGCATTCTTGCTTTGGCCCAGATCTCTGCAATTTCCATCAGGTACAAATACACCAAAACAAATTTATTTTGTCCATCATTAAAAGGCTCATTCACAGTCAGTGTATCCACTCTCAACGTGGGGGTGAGTCCCTGTCCTGTAGGGATCTCTATTCCATATCCTATAGCGGAATCACCTTTCAAGGACAAGGTTTGTCATTTCCTCCCATGCAGAGAAGCTGTCAGCAGGAGGGACCTGGTTTCATTTGCGTGTGTTTTTGAGACTGTGGCAGGAGATTAACTCATGTAGGATTTACCAGATGTCTCTCTGTGGAGTGGGCTGCTTTGAAGAGCAAACGAGTTCTTCAGTCTATGCCTAACCAAAGGAATGAATCATACACCTGCACACTCTCCTTTCTTTCAAGGACACAGTGCCCTGTGGAGGTTGGGGTGTTCTTTTCTTGTCTGGAGAATCTCACATCATCACAGGCAGAATATTAGAGGAATGAGGAGAGACAATGCATCGACTTTGCTTTATAGTCTGCCTCCTTCTTAGTCTCTCTGGTAGTTCAGATAAGCCCTGCCTAATCTTGCATTGAGTTTTACTAGTGTCTGCTTTCTTTTTTTTTTTTCTTCCCTGTTTTAGCTTCCCCTAACACTTGCTCAGTTGACATAAGGTCTTGCACCCTCTAAGTGCTTGCAGAAATGTTCTTTCTCTGGCTGATTTCAGTCAAAGGGAAGTAGGGGTGCACCCAGAGCTATCTGAATCTGAACAGAAGCTTCCTAGAAAGTCTAATTGCAGTGGGGACAGTTCAGCTGGTCTCACTCTTAACAAGCGCTATCGCTCAGCTCTTCATCAGCATTGGTGTGATGACGCTGCAGAGCTGGCTGGGATGTCCCCAGCGAGCTGTGCAGCCAATCTGATGCAGAAGATCGTGCAGGTACAGTGGCCTTTGCAGGTTTTCTTGAGAGCTGAGGACAGCAGTGAGGTGTGGAGTCCATCCCACCCAGCCAGTGCTGAGCAGTGTCCGGAGCTCACACTGACAGATGGGTTGGATGGGTAATAGGGTCTCTTCTTTCTCGCTGCCACCAGGGACTCTGATTGATTTGTCCAGCTTGCCGTGATGAAGTCATTAATCTTGATGACACTTGCTGCAGCTCAGCCTCTGGCACGCCAGAGTAATTCTTTTTGCACCTGCCAACATACAGGTCAGATAGCAGGATATGCACTGTCTGAAAGTTGTAGACCTGATTTCTAAGAAAGGTCTGATAGGTAGCCACTAAAGGGAACAGGTCAGGAGATGACTTGCCTTTGGTACAGATTGGAGGCAAGACCCTGTTTCCTGCAGTGAAAGCAAAGCTAAAGATGGACCATGTTTTCAAGAGTTCATATAATTCCCATGACAAATCTAAGACAAACATCACTATCCCTGCTATCCACTATGCAAGGGTATAGGGAATCCCACAGGAAGGTACTTGGCAGGACAACAATCTGGCCAACAAGAAACACCAGTGTGTGTCCTGCTATTCAGTACAATCAGTAACCCTCCTACCAGTATGGAGGCACTATTCCAGGTCAGAGGTACCTTATCTCAATGCAGCTCTTATCTCGTAATAATAACTTGGTATTAAATTGCAATTGTGTAAGACACTTACCGGTGGCCTGCCATTGCCCTTCTTGAACGTGGCATTAGATGCTTTGACCTTCTCAGTGTTCAGACAATGCCGAAGCACGGATGGAGTGGACTTTAAGGAGAAATGACTTTTTCAACAGAAGGTAGGAGTTGTTTCCTAGGAATTGTTTGTACCGACAGCTCCTTATTTCTTTGTCATTTCTTACCACACCCGTTGAGTCAACACTAAAGAAAATGACATATGAGTCAATAATTTTTAAAACTTGAGCAAAAAATGCTATCAGGCTGGAAAGGTTAAATGCTTAATTTCTGTCCACTGAAAATCTACCCAATTTTTTATCATGGCTA